TATAAATTATTGCCAAGTTATAGCCAAAGAAAGTCACCGATTTGTGAGAACATTTGGGAAATTTGCTTCTTGACTGTAAAAAAACATGGTCAGGTAAGTAAGCAGTTCACTTTGAAATGTAATTATTTACATTCTTAAGTTTGGTAACAATAAATTATATGTTGATAAAAATGTGAAGTTAAACCAAGAGGGATTTGGGAATAATAATGTATATATTGTTCAGGCCACTGTAAAAGTCTATGGGGAGAGATGATCAGATTTTCAAAGGAAGGAAGCTGGCAAGCATTCCTCAGTAGGCTTATTCTCTACAGCTGAAATCACAAGGTATTTCAGAAAATCTATAAGTACCTAAAAATATCTGTAGTTAATAGAATGTCATCTGTTCTGGGAAAGTCTGTTCTCTGTGACACTTTTCACCAATCAACTTGCTTGCCCAAAGGAAGTGTGAATCTGCTCAATGGGTTTCTTCATGGCATTAGAGGAACTTAATTATAGTGGAAGAATTATACATATGATTCTGACCACAGCAATGGATTGGTGATATAGTTTAAAATGGATGACTGAGTAAAAGGAATCTCAGTATGGCATGCCAGGTTATGAAACATCATGCCTTTAGAAAAGAAGAATTTAAAGAGGGGCATACTGCTGCCTCTCAGATAAACCCTCTCCTGAATTCAGAAGTAGAATAGAATCCACAGGTGGATGCTCTCACCCCTTTTTGGAGGATTCTTCCTGAGTATGTGCGATGAGTGGTCATGAGGCCGTTCTAGTGATTCTATGATGGGCAACAAGTAAGTAAATAAATAGATAAATAGTCTAATCTACTGACTCACTCTGAATTTCAAAATTGTACTTTGTCAACAGGGACAATCAGAGAGCTGAGACCATTTTTGGGCCACTATACAGAGTGACATAAAGATAGCAAGTGGATTTCATTGGCCCCAAGAGGGTATTGATGGGTCCTGCTTAGGATAGGCACATATTCTGGATTTAGATTTGTATTTTTTGGTAATGGAAGCAAATGTTTCTAATACCATCAAAGGAATAGACAAAAAAATATTAATTTTGGTTCCTCATATCAAAGGGACCCATTTTATCTCCTCACACAACAGAAGCAAAGAAAAAACAGGGATTACTCTACTATCTGGAATGATGAATTCCAATTACCAGGGGCAAATTAGTTTGCTTCTAAAATGGAAGCAAGTAGCCTTGGTTGGGAACTCAGGGTGGTGCTTTCATGTAAACGTTAATGGGAAAGCATACCAACAAAAAAGATTGCTAAATCCTTAGAAGGGTGATTGAAAATTCAGACACTTCAGGAATGAAGGTTTTGGTTACCCAACTAAATTTGATAGAGTTGGGGGAAATATGGTAGATATCAACTATGACCTTGTGAACAATTACAGAAATTAGAAATGTAGTAGCTTTGGATATTTTTACTTGCTTTTTATATGCCAGCTTTTATTTCTATATGCTATTTTCTTTTCTCTTCTTCCCATTTTTATTTTATATAAAGATATTTAAAATTAACTTTACTATTTGGTCTTTAGGTAACAGAATATTTAGTGAGTGAATTTGAAGAAGAGGTAATATAGACCCAACAATGCATACAATTCAATGACTGTTGGACTGTGCATCCTGTTATTTTGGGGAAAAAGTGAGAGTTTCTTTCTTTGTGTGAAGAATAGCTGTATCTTTTAAAATAGAATGTTGAGTTGCTTTATTATTTTATGAGAATTCAAATGTGTATTAAAAGATGTATATGGAAGTTGAGTAGTCAAAGGTGTATACCATGCTGGTAATCAACATGTTGTAAGTTATGAACTTGTACTTTTTGGCTTGCTCTAGTAAGTGGATCTGGGCCCTTTAAATGTCTTTGTTGAAATGATGCTAAATTTTGTTAGTGGGAAATATAGAGAGAAATTGCAAGAATAAAGTTTGTTTTATTTTTAATTGAGATTAAATTCATGTAACACAACATTTAGGAATTTACCTATTTTAAAGTGACTTCCAGTGCATTCACAATTTGTGCAGCTATCACTTCTAATTACAGAACTTTTCAACATCCTCAAAAGAAACTTTGTGCTCTTTAAACAGTTATTCTTCATTTTCCCTTCCCTAGTCCATGGCAATCACTTACCTGTTTTCTGTCCTCATGGATTTGCCTATTTTGGAGATTTCATAAAAATAGAATCATGAAATGTGTCTTTTTCTGTCTGGCTTCTTTCAGTTAGCATTTTTTCCCCCCAGCAAAATGGGTTTGTTTGGGAATAACAAAGCATTGCAATTTGGACATTTGGTCTAATGGCAGGTGAACTAGATTAAGTCCAGAGAACAAAGGAGAGGAACATTGTGTTATAGAGGCAAGAGGGGAATGCAGAGGGGCTGCTGTAAACAAAGATCCATTGGAGGAAACTGGGAGTTCAGAGAGTAGTAGCTTTTCATGGGCTGAGTTGTAGCTGTCTCTCATTGGCTGAGTGGTTGCTGGGCAAGAAGATCCTCCTTCTTGCTGAAGTAGTGGAGCAAAAAACATCTTTCTGTTCAAGGTGGAAAGTAGGTACCTTCCAGTTTGGGGAATCTGATGAATGGTAAGGTGTGAGATCTTCTCCTAAAGGCCCTCCCCATTCCAATGAGGTTTCTGTGTATTAATCTTCACACAATAAATCTCACTCTAAAATAGACATTGAGAAGCACTTCTGGGCCTTTTGGCTAAGATGAAGGCTAAACCAAACTGGTAGGAAATGAACAGAAGTGTAGTGAATCCTTCGATGTTGGGGTCCCCATGCGGGCAAGTGGTTTGGTTAGCAAGAAGTCAGAGGAGGAGCTGCATGGAAATAGCTCATGGAGGCCAAGTGAGGCCTGCCAGCACATTCCTTCCCCAAGGGATTAAAAATATCCAGATGTTCTCCAAAATTGCTATGTCCAAGGCCCAAAATTTCATGTCTTCCCCTGGATTCTCCTGTGTTTGGCTGATAGCTATTGTTCTAATTTTGTTTGAATGTTTTTTTCCCCCCATGTGAGACAGATAATGTGCCAATATCCTAACAAGACTTGAGGGAGGCACCTCTCACACAATCATCATGCTCACGAGCCAGGAAAGGATCTGTCTGGGTCTTCCTCTGTGTCAGGTCATGTGTTTTATATGCTTGCCCTCACTTATTGATTATAAAACAAAATTGACTAGGTATTCCATCACCAAAAAGGATTTTCTCGAGAAAAAGAAAAGATTGCAATCCAGTAGGTGTAGCCATCGAGAGCCATGTGGGAGGAGTGAAAAAAAGAAGGAAGCCCCTTTCAGAGAGGTGAACAGGAAGTGAAGGGGTGGGGCACTTCACAGGCTGGATAGTTCGGATAGCTCCTCCTCGGGCCATCCTGATTCCAGCACAGATTACCTCTTTGCCATAAATTGTAACACATTTAATTCTTATAACATCCTGGGTAGGCAAGTACTATTATTCCCATTTAATGAGGAGGGGAACAGACTGACTCAACTGCCTGAGATCATGGACTACTATGAGTTCAGACCTAGGACGCGTGACTGTCCTCCCATAGAAAGCCAGACTTTTTATTTCTTTAAGACATTCCTGTTTCTGTATGTGTCACATGAACAATGGATTCTTCTGAGTTAACATGGAAAATGTTTGTCATGCCTGTGCATCGGGCGTCGATGAAAGCGCTGCCCTTCCCTGAGCTCCTGGTCCATGTCACCTCAGTTAGCATAATATTTTCAAATTTCATCCATGTTGTAGCATATGTCTGTACTTTTTTACTTTTTCTGCCTGGATACTATTCCACTGTATGGATAGATCACATTTTGTTTATCCATTTATCAGGTGATGCATGTTTTGGTTGTTTTCATTTTTTGGCTATTATGATGTTTCTATGAATGTTCATGTACAAATTTGTGTGTGGATATATGTTTTCAATTTCTCTTGAGTATGTACCTAAGAGGGTAATAGTTGTGCTATGTGGTAACTCTTGTTTAAAAACTTAAAAAGCTACCAGACTGTTTTCCAAAACACCTGCACCAGGTTACATTCCCACTAGCTGTGTATGAGCTCATGATTTCTGACATTGCTTCTGTCCCAGTACTGCTTCTAAGAGGTTGTTCTCCAAGGTGAAATCATATGCAAACTTCCTGAGGTCATTCTCCAGACCATTGTCCAGGATATTTTCCAGGATATAGAATTCAGCAGACCTATGCCTCCAGACTGACAGTATCATGAATGAAGTGTTAATTAAGCATCTATTATGCTCAGAGTTGTGTACTAGGCTCAGAGGGAGTACAACATGAACATGTTTCAGGGTCCTTGTGCTCAGAAGACTGCATTTTTGTTAGGTGTGTAAATGGTTAAAATTAATTAGATTTAATTAATTTGGTTATTTGGAACTAATTTTCTAGGACATTTTCTACGACCATTTTCTTCTTTTCCAAGAAAGAAAATTACTACACAGTTAAGTGACTTTTTACCTGTGTATATCATATCTAAAGCATGGTATGTGTATGTGTAAGTGTGTCAATATCAGGGTGGCAACAATGGTCAAGGGCATTTCATTTTTTACTTTTATTTCCAGTGATAGGAAATTTCATTATAATTTTCATATGCCTATTTTAATTCTAAGGTTGACAGCTTTCATGTTATTGGTTTAAAGTTTTTTTTGTTTTTTTTTTTTTACCGTATAGGTCTATTCAGAGATACCTCTTCCTTTCTAACATCTATGTGCCTTTTAGTATTAAGTATTTTTTTTATTGATACCCAAGAACATGCACATTGGCTTTTGAGAGAGGGGAAGAGAAGGAGAGAGGAGGAGACAGAGAAACATCAATCATTTGCCTCCCTCATGCACCCCTATTGGGGGTCGAACCCCCCACCTAGGTATGTGCCCTGACCAGGAATTGAACCCACGACCTTCAGTGTACCTGATTACATTCCTAAAACTGAGCCACACCAACCAAAGCTGTACGGCCTTTTGAAAGTGATGTTAATTGGTGGACAATTCTATACCCACCCAAGCAGCTTCTGGAAGCCCCGTCTGAGCTCATGCATCCTGAGGGCATAGACCATGGGATTGAGAGCAGGGGGAATGACATTGTGTAGCACATTAAGGAGTACAGGGATAAGAGGAATCTTTTCCTCTACAAGGTGTGTGACAGACAGAACAATGATACCTGTATAGAAGAAGAGGATGAGGATGAGGTGTGAGCTACAGGTGCTCAGAGCCTTGGACATTGCTTCTGCTGAGTTCAGCCTCAGCACAGTGTGAAGGATTAGAGCATAGGAAGAAAAAACCAGAGCCATATCACTCCCAACCAGGACCCATGCTAACATCAGTTGGTAAAATTTGTTCACAGTGATGTCATCACAAGCCAGGCTGATAACTCGCAAGTTGGAGCACAGGCAGTGGTCAATTTCATTCTTGGAGCAGTAGAGCCTTTGGGCAGCCAGTACAGGCACTGGGATGGTGAACAGGCTATTCCTGATCACCATGAATCCTATGATTTTAACCACAAAAGCTTCAGTGACTATGGTAGGATATCGCAGTGGGTGACAGATGGCTATGTATCTGTCCACTGCCATGCAGAGGAAGATACCAGACTCCATGCAAAAGAAGCAGTGGACAACGTACATCTGAACAAAACACTCAGGGAGGCTGATGGCCTTGGCATCAAACCAGAAGATGGCCATAATCTTGGGCATAATGGTGCTGGCCAAGCCAATGTCCACGACTGCCAATACGCTCAGGAAATGGTACATGGGCTCATGAAGTGTGGACTCATGTTGGATGGTGATTAAGATGAGGAGATTGGCAGCAAGAGCTAAAAGATAGAGCAGAGCCAGGGGCAGGGAGAGCCAGTGCTGCCACTCGTGAATGCCTGGGAGCCCCATCAAGATGAACTGGGAAATCTGGAGGCTGGAACTGTTGGTAGCATTGGTGGAGGTGTCCATGGCACTGGTGCTCCGTTCCCAGTGTCTGTCATGAAACTGGAATCAGAAAGGGGTTGCATTTGAAAGTTCAGCTAAGGGTCTTAATTACCGACTTCCAACAACGATCCAATTTATTTAATTGTGAATTACCACCGCCGTTTTTTTGTTTTTTTGTTTTGGCTCTGGGCAATATTCCACAGAGTAGCAATAAAGAAAGCCCAAATTAGTTTTAAACAGAAAGGTTGGACCAGCTATTTTTCATCACTAATGTGTAATGTCATCAATGCATGTCTAATAAGCATGTCTAAATGCATCAACATAATCTTATCACCAACAGATAACAAATATTAATATTATGTTTATTCACTTCCTTTTTTCTGTTTATGTTTAAGCAGTTTACATCATGAGATAATTTTGTATCTTGTCTTTGTCTTTTCGCAATGTGTTCTAAGATATAACATATGTTCTCAGTAAAAAATTACTGCATGAATAAATAAATGAACCATGACTTTCAGTATCATTAAAGCAATGTAGAGTCTTAATTTTAATGACCACTTTATAATCCTATATTTGATTATTTCATAAATTACTAACCAATCTTTTATTTTCAGATTGTTTACTTTGAGTGAATTTCAAAAAAGATACAAAAGTGATAAATACAAAAGTCACAGCTATCTTAAAAATGCCATTTTTAGCAATATTTTGATATTTTAAATTTCATGCATGCAAATGTTGAAAAATGAAAGATAAAAAAATATAGGCCCATGCCTGGAATTCCCAAATCCTTTCTTTTCAGCACAGGCAGTCAGTAATAATTTCATGAGAATCTTTCCAGAGATAGTTTTTACACAGACAAAAATATATGTACTATTTTCCCATAAAAGACAAAAACAAATCTAATCATACTAATCATACCTTTCTTATCCTTTGTTTCCTTGACTTTTCTTTTTTTAGCTTAGTTATTATCTTGGAGACTGTTCCATTTCACGATATGTATATGCTTAATTGTTGTGAAGTTGCATGATTTTCTACAACATGGATGTCCAATGTTTTCTTGAGAACTTTTGATGAACATTGGTATTCCCACTACTTTGCCACTGTAAATAAAATTATTAAAAATGTGCTTGTTCATACATCTGTAAGCATATGTGTAAATTTATCTATAGGATAATTTCCAAGAAGTGAATTCCTGGGTGAAATGGGGAAAAAATGATTTTAAGTGATGTTGCCAAATTGTCTTCCCAAGAGGCGTTTCTCGTCCTGTGTGACAGTAGTGCACTTTTAATGTCTTGACATACACTGAAAGGTTGCTTCATGGACACATTGTAGTACTTTACATGCCCAGAATTTGTTCATGAGTATGTCTATTTCATCACACTCAACCACAATTGGAAACTTAATTTAAACTCTTTAATAATAGAATAAGTAAATCTTGAAATTTTAATTTTGGCTCATACTTCCCTTCATTATTTAGTAATATTTGACATTTTTAAAGGTTGTTTTTATTCCCATTGTATACTTAGTTATTCTTTTAGCTTTATGTGCAACTCATTTTGTAGTATTAAATGAAATAATGTTTTTCAAGGGCTTAGAATGGACTCTGGTAGCACATTGGATTAATTTGTGTGATTTTCAATATATCTTAAAAATATTACCTGTATCTGTTGAATTTTTGGAAATATTTCCCCTATGTAATTTTCATTAAAATCTACCTTTTAAAAAATTTTATTTATTGATTTTTAGAGAGAGAGAGCAAGGAAGAGAGAGAAAGAAATGTTGACTTGTTTTTCCACTCATTTATTCATTCATTGGTTGATTAAAAAATTCCACATATGCATACACTTAAACTTTTATGTATTCATAACTTTTAAAATTAATTATTTCATGGTTTTTCACCATTAAATAATATAAAACCCACATTTAAATAAGAATTTACTTGCATTTTCTTTACAAACATTTATTTTATAATTAATTTGTAACCAGTTTGAGATTTGACATGGAGTGAAAGTCTCTAACTTAATTTCACCCACAAATAACTAAATCATGGTTCCAACACCATTGAGTATAGGAAGCTTCTCCTTTCCATTAATTTACAAAGTGCTTTTTTGTCAAATATTAAATTCAGACATATATTCAAGGATCATTGCCACTAGACAATATCTTTTGTTTTTAATTCTAGTACTAATTGAATTAGTCTATTTACATATGGTGGGGAAGAGTCTTACTAAAAATTTCAGATCAGTTATTAAATAAAAAAGTCTGGTTGTGATATTTTTGAGTATAAAAGTAAAACAAATTAATCGTGGAGTAAATATTTTTATCTCCTTGAATCTTTTCATTTAAAGAAGTGTGGCCTTTCTGTCCTAGGTATTTTTGGAATTTCTCCCCAATAATATTACTGTTTTTGTCTCATTGCATTTCGTAACTGTGTATTATTACTTAAAAAAACCTTCTGATGATTATTGTGTTTAAAAAACATCTTACAAACACAGCTACTTTACACTACTGCATTCCAAAGCTAATAGCTTTTTAGTAAATTCCCAGATTTCTTCTTTGGTAGAAAAAGGTATTGCCTATTATTAGGAGAAGTTGGAATAGTGTAAGCTCTGAGTTTTATTTTGCATCTTATTAAGATGTTTACAGTTTTCTCAACAATATAAAGAAGCACTGATCAGCATCCCTGTCTGGCCTGGACTTGAAGTAGAATGCCTCTTGAGCTCTCTCCAGTGTGGGGTGCTAAATGATACTTTTCAGATAAATGGTCTTCTTTACTTTTGGTGACTTGATATCTAGTTTTAGTTTCTGATTTTATTTCTGAACAGAAGTGAGTGACTTCCATTGCTCTCTCCCCTTAGGATCTTGGATCTACAGTTTAAATGGGAGGTTGCCCTGTTTCCACCAGTCTGTCAGCCCATGTGCCTCCCCTGCCTTGGGCTCTATGGTGGTTGCCTTTTCCTCTGCTAGAACTTTCTGTCCTTTCTAGCATGACCAGAGGGGAGCGCCATCTCCTTTTTCTACTTGTTCCCCAGAGCTCAGGCCTCTGCCCTGTACAAATGAAGATCTTTAGGGCAAAAGGGCCAGTGTTGAAAGGATTAAACTAAGAAAGCTGACTGAGAAAGCCCAGGCTGGAGGAGAAAACCAGAACAGAGAGCCAGGAACACAGAGCAAGGAAACTGCCCCCTCCACTCACCTTGGCCCCTGATAACCCCTGCAAGGAGGTCCTGGAAGAACCTCTTCAAATGGCACTGCCTTCTGTAGCTGCTTCAATTCTCTTGGCTATACCTTTTTTTATACCATTGTTGCTGAGAGTGCGTCTTTTCCTGTCCCCTGGGGCCTGGGCTGTTGCACAGATTGGATCCCCAAGTTGCCCTAATCTTTCTCTGCCACTTTCCAGGACCTCCAGGAGGCTCTCTCTAATTGCTTTTCCCATGTGCATCAAGGCTCAGTGTCTTTTCATCGCAGCTCCAAATGGCCCCCAGTCATATTCTTGTTTCTCTTCAGATTGTATAAATCTTTTGCCTTTTACCAAAAAGTCCCCAGTGACCTCAGAGCTGTATCCAGTTTAGCTCAGGAAACAGAGATCGTAGTCCCCAGTCCCATGGGAACCTGATTAGATGGTCATCTCTGTCTTAATAAAGGCCAATCTGCAGCTCAGGATGGCTACAAATGTAGCCCAACAAAAAAATTATAAATTTACTTAAAACATTATGATGGGTTTGTTTTTGTGATTATGTGTCACAATGTATTTAATGTGTTGCCTGAGAAAACTCTTCTTCTTCCAGTGTGGCCTAGAGATGCCAAAAGGTTGGACCCCCCTGGTTTAGGAAGAGGTGTCCCTCCTCTTGTCTGAATTCCTGCACTCCTGCTCCTTCCCCCAACATATACATAATGAGAATCATAGGTGGGAGCTCAGAGGGCAGCCAGAAAGGTAAGTTGAGAAATATATTCCTCTGAATCTTTTCCTACCAGTCTCCATGTTGGGCAATGTCTATGTTCCTTTCCTGAAGGCCCCCTGCTCCTATCAGTTGGTTCCCCCATGTTTCTTGTCAATACTGATCAATAGTGGTAGTTGTTTCTTCCCATTGCTCCTCAGATCTGTCAGATGGTAATGGCTTTTGAGGTTGCCAGCCCAGGTGTATTTCACCTTCCCTGTTTTCACTATTGATTTTTTTATGTAAACTCTCCACCTATTTTTGGGATATTCTCTTCATTATATTCTCCTCTGTCCTCCCTTTTGCACGTTCTGTTTTCTGCTGGGACTTTGACCAGGATGTCTCCTCATCTCAGCTGTCTCTGTCCCTGTACCTTACTCTTGAATCCACTTCTATTTCCATTCTTTTACAAACTTCCTGAAATTTTTCTTTTAATGTACAGTGCCCAATTTTTACTTCTTTTAAACCTATTTCTGACTTATATTCTCCTGCTAAATCAAAATTTTTCTTTTTCCCCTATTTTTCTAAAAGTTTGCATAGGGTTTTTATTGTTCATTTCTTAAATGTTTGATAGAACTTACTAGTAAAGACTTGACCTCATGCAGGTGAAATATTTTTACTGATACATCTGCTAGGCAAGGGAAATAAAGGAAAAAATAAACAAATGGGACTACATCATATTAAAATCATCTGCACGGCTAAAGAAAACATCAGCAAAATGAAAAGGGAACCGACCGTATGAGAAAATATATTTTCCAATGATATCTTGGACAAGGGTTTGATTTACAAAATATATAAAGAACTCACACAACTCCACACCAGAAAGACAAACAATCCAATTAAAAATGGGTGAATCACCTGAACAGACACTTCTCCAAGGAGGATATGCAGAGGGCCTATAGGCATATGAAAGGATGCTCAACATCACTAGCCATAAGGGAGATGCAAATTAAAACCACAATGAGATACCACTGCTCACCTGTCAGAATGGCCATCATTGACAAATTAACAAACAACAAGTGCTGATGATGATGTGGAGAAAAGGGAACCCTAGTGCACTGTTGGTGGGAATGCAGACTGGTGCAGCTA